CCCCAAAACCCCAAAACCCCTATTGTCTAAAATCGAATAATTTTTGAATTCTAAATATTGATTAGCAAATTAATAAATAAGAATTTTAATAGAAAGAACAGATCTTAAAATTTATAGCTTCAAAGTCTTAAAATTTAACAATGGAGAAAAGTCGAAAGTTTGTTCCAAAATAGCAATAAAAGCAACCAATAGCCTCTAAATCAAAACCGAAATAATAGCAAGAACAGCCTAAAAGTTTATATAAACCAAAGCAGTATTTAGTTGTTTTAAGGCATAGTGAAAGATTAGACGATTAGCATCGAGTCAGTGATGAAGAAAGAGCTTCTACTAAAGTAATGCATGAACTTGATATCCCTATTTCCTAAAATGGACATAAATTAGCCTACCAAACAGGCTAAGTGCTAAGGGGAAAAGTTGGTTTGAAAGTAGAAGAGATAAAGACTAAATGGAATGTGAAAGTCTATAGTTCCCCATATCTGAGATGTCTACAAACAAGCGATTAGGTCATCAAGGGCTTAACTGATGAAAAAGAAAATATAGACATAGTAGTGAGAGAACAGCTATCTGAGTTGCAAATAGGAGGCTATAACCATATGATGAAGATTGATGATTTGACTATTAATCAGACTAACCCCCATGAGGAATTCTTAAAGCAGTATCTTACTCCATCTACTGTTATCAATTACAACAGAGATTATTAGAATGGCGTATATGAGATGAAATATCCAGAGGAGTTTAAGACGCATTATGATAGATATTTAAACTTCTTTAAGCTGACATTGAAGGAGGACTTTACAGAGGCAGCCAAAATTAAGAAGCAAAAGACTGAGCCTAAGAATGAGTTAGTGATATTAGTGACTCATGCAAATGCAGTAGTAGTATTCTATGAATTGAAAGTGCCTAATGCTAGAATGACAAAGTTCATTATTGGAGTTGGCTATTGCTGTATGAGTATTTACGAGAGAAGTCCAGCTGAGAGTGATAATTGGAATTTGACTCTGTTTGGAGATAACACACACCTTGAAAGAGGAGAACCTTCGGAGATTATGGATGAAGTTAATGAATATTTAAGTTAAGATTGAGTGATATTTGATCAGATATTTATTTCAAATATGAACTAGAATAATCATATTTATTTGTTAGAAGTTTATTGTTTTTAATTTTGCTGATAAAAATTAAGAATTAAATAAAATGAAAGGCGATAGAAACATATAACTCTTAGTTGAAAGTTCAGTAGAATCTAAAATTGACTTACAATCTTCTGCAGGGGGCTTTGCTGCTAATTCTCCTCTTTCTACTCATGTAGGCTCATCCCTTAACATTGGAGGTATCAATTCTATTCGTTTGATTAATGAGATTGCAGAAAATTATGCGAACAGGCAGAGAGAGGGTCCTTGTGGGTTAGCTATGAGTTGCATTAAAAGTCATTTCAACAATATAATTAGTCTGAGAAGTTCTTATGTCAAGGGTAGTTTTAGGCTAGTAATATGATTTTATAGAGCAAAACTAAGAGCCTTAAGTTGAGGAAGTGGCTGAGAATAACTACATGAACATAAGAAATTAATAGTTATCTCCAAGTTTCATCCAAAGAGCAGGGCCAGGCCGTGTTTAATCTTAATCAACCCTTCGATTGGGTGAAACTACTACAAGGAATGCAGACAGTGAATTTTTGGAACTCAGTCAGAAGAAGTTCCTAGGCATGCTTGGGGGCTAAGTAAGGAAGTCTGTTTAAGGCCTTGGTGATGGTACTCTAATCTAAGTTACACGTAACTCTTTATTTTTAGGAAGCAACAACAATGATGGCATGGCTTCCTCTGTTCCTCACAGCCATGGAGACTCAGGTATGGGAAATATCCCCATTGAGAACTTGAAGATCTTTCAGTTGTTCAAGGTGCCAATGGTGAAGTTGAAGTTGCTGACCTCGATCGATAACAAGATAGAGTTTCTAATTGAGCACATGACCAACAACATAAGGGATCAACTCAGGACTATTTCACAGATGGAACTAGAGAGACAGCAGAATATAAAGATATTTAAGAAGCAAATGAAGGATTAGTTCAATGATGAGCACTTCCAAGGACTGTACTCATGGCTTAAGATCAATTCACCTGGGCATGAGGGGCTAATCAAGAAACTCAGGACTAAGCTGATAGAGTCGTTACAATCTGAGGATATTGATAAAAGGCCAAGATCTGCAAGATTCAATCCTAAGATTAGGTAGTCAAGTCATCTATAAAAAGTTATAGTAGATAATCCAGGAAACTTATTAATAAGTGGTAGCGTTTTAAACGAAGCTATAGAGAAAACCTTCAATGCTTTTGCCAGATCTAGCCTTAATAGGATAGAAAGTTAGCCCAACCTTAGACGTTCTCTTGTGGGTAAAGATAAGATACTCGAGAACGACTACAAATCTAATGAAGGCATTAAGACATTCAAGAACTTAAATGCAATGATGAAAGATTTGGATCAGGAGAGCAAACAAAAAAAGCGGAAGAGCGCTCGGCCTATGACAGCTGTAGCCAAGCATGAAGATGAAGAGGGTGAAGGAAACCATAACCAGCAGCTTACAAACAAACTAAAAAACGATGCTTTGACTAAATTCTTTGACACTCTGCCAGCTTAGAGTTGGGATGATATCAGAGAAAAAGAAAAGAGATAGTAGATGGATCAACTATTGAAGCAGTTCTCAATGGAATAAAAGTCTGCTTATGACAAGTCAAAGGTAAACTGGGATTAGAAGTTGGAGAAGATTTTTTCAAAGCATAAGTCAGAAATTAGACTAGGCTTGACTAAGTACTCAAGCACTGGTCCTTGGAATAAAGTAGTATTAGGCTAGATGGATTAGCTTCGACAAGATATGCCTAAGACTACCTCTCAAAAAGATCTCTAAAGAGCATATAACAATCTAAGATATGATAAGGTATAGGAGATCGTTAATACAATCCCAAGTCTCAATGAATGTCTAGACAAGAGATTATTCTAAAAGAGTGTAAATTGTTTGCCCAAGGATGAGATGAATAAGATCGAAACTCAAATAGCTGAAGATATACTCTGGACATACACTCGAAAAAAGTACAACTACCAAACAGCGAGAGGGAAATTCTTCAAAGAAAAGATCAGAACATCAGCAGACAAGATCAAGATTAATGATGATAAGATGGAAGATAAGAGGCTGTCAGTAACAAGGAAAAAAGAGTATAGGAAGCTATCTAAGCGGTACAGAACTATTCTAGGAGGACTGTAAAATGGAAACATCAGCTTGAAGCAAAATAAAAATGACCCTTTGCTAAAATTATATCATCAAGGGGTTCACAACTTTAAAGAGCCTCTACCTCTTCATATGAATTCCCAAAAAGATTAGAATGACTTTGTGAGTTTAAGAATGGCATTAGATTAATTTTCATCAGCAAACGGAAGAGTGCAAGTTGCTCCAAAATATGATTAAAAAGTGCCTCATAAGTACTTTATAGAAAAGTATGCAGGAGGCCCTGGGTCTAATTTGGAAAATAGGAAGCAAGTCAATGGCTAAGACATTATGAAGGCAGCGATCAGAATTTAAAGCATGGCTAGAGTTGTTATAGCTAGAAAGATAGCCAGAGATAAAAAGAATGAACTTGAAAGATAGAAATTTTTATATGAAGAAAACTTAAAGAGATAACAACAAAAACTAGAAAAAGACATGCTGTACAGATAGCATAGCGTGGCTGTGGATGAAACCTAGCCAATTTATATAAATTTTACAGCATCTTCAAATCTTAACACTTTCTAGACATCTCAATCTCCCTCTCCTCAAAGTAGAGTTCATAATAAAAGTAAGTCAAGCAGTATCAAGAAATCTAAGATGGATACTCGATACCTTATAGAAAACAATGTATTTTAGTCTTCAGGATAAAACCAAAAGCAGCCGTTGTTTCAATAGAGTAACATGAGCAATAATTTCAGCATTATCCCTGGAGACCCAAACTACTAAAAAGGATTTAATCAGAACACTATCAAAGACTCTTATCAACCGTCTCTTGATTTAAAAGAAAAGACCTATAAAACACCTGGCCAGCTGAAGAAGAACATGCAAATGGTAATACAGAACTTATTCCAGGCATGTAAAAAGAACAACTTCAACTACATTGAGAAAAACAGAGACAGGCTAACATTAAAGGTGCTATCCAACTCAAAGGATCACAAAGGAAACACTCCAATCTATGTGGCTGTTGCTAACAAGCATATAGACACAGTAAGCTATCTGATTGAAAGAGGAGTGACTGTGAATAGCAAAAATGAAAATGGAAACATTCCTTTGCACAGAGCATTTATGAACTAAGACTATGATATGATTGGGCTTTTACAGAGTAAAGGGGCTAACTTCGATATGCTTAATGATCTTCACCAAACACCATTGTACTTTGGATCGAGAGTTCTAATAGATAAACTTGGGATTAGTAGCAAGCCAGCAAACTTTATATTAAGAAACGATTTTCAGCTGGAAAAAGTTTAAGGAATGGTCAAAGTAAGCAATTATTTAATGTAACTATTCTTAGAGAGTAACTTAAATTTTCAATGAAACACCAGGAAAATTCATAGAGAAAAAGGAGGATAAGGACAAAGTCATTTAAGGTGTGCTTCAGAGACTGGAAAGTCCAGAGGTAATAAGAGAATTCGCACCGCTTTACAATAGTCCTAAGAAAATTTGAGAATGAGATGTTGCATAGATACTATTAATTTCAATCTAATTTTAACTTTAATTTAATTATTTCCATCCTAAGTTATATTATCATCATGGGGTTTTGGGGTTTTGGGGAGATCGGAAGAGC